AGAGAGAGAGAGAGAGAGAGAGGATGACACCTCCGTTGTGAGCCCAGGTGGACGGCGGTGTCCTAGCAATAAAAAACGTTTGGAAAGGGTCAGCTAGGTGGCGCAGTGGATAGAGCACCGGCCCTGAATTCAGGAGGACCTGAGTTCAAATTCGGACTCAGACACATAACACTTAACTAGCGGTGTGACCCCGGGCAAGCCACTTAACCCCATTGCCTAGCCAAAAAACCAAAAAACAAACAAAAAAAACCCCTCAAAAACGTTTGGAAGAGAGGAGAGTTTGGCCTCGAGGCCACAGTGGCCCTCTAGGTCCTCAGGTGCGGCCCTTTGACTGAATCCAAACTTCACAGAACAAACCCCCTTCATAAAAGGATTCGTTCTGTAAAACTTGGACTCAGTCAAAAGGCCACATCCGAGGACCTAGAGGGCCACAGGTTCCCCATCCCTGGCTTAGCGGGGAGGATAATTGGGCATGCTGGGTTTCAGATGACCGTGGGACATCCAGTTTGACATGACCAAGAGGCAGCTGGTGATGTGGGTCTGGGGCCAGGAAAGAAACTGAAACTGGATTCAGGTATCTGGGAATCATCTGCATGAAGACAAGAATTGAACCCAAAGGACCTGACGAGATCACCCGAAGACGCCCAGGACACGCTATTGGAGGACTAGCAGGACTGACATGCCCTCAAGGAGGATCCAGCCAGTGGACCCAGGAGCCAGAGAACAGCAGCAAGAAAGCTAGAATGAAGAGTGTCCAGGGGAAAAGGGGACAGCCAGCGTCAGAGCTCGCAGACCGGTTGGATTTGGTGATGAAGAGGTCGTGGTAACTTTGGGCAGAGCAGCTTGGGTGAAATGATGAGGTCAGAGGCCAGACTATGGAGGGCTTGGAAGTGAGAGACAGGAGGGGAAGGGGTTCAAGTTCAGCCAGGACAGGGAGGAGAGATATAGGAGGAAAGGTAGAGCCGATAGTCGGATCAAGTAAAGGTGCTTTTTAAGAATACAGGAGACGGAGGTCTATTTGCAGGAAGCAGGGAGTAGATAGAGGGATACTGGGAGACTTGGAGAGAGTGGGGTTGATGGAGGGGTCGATGTGCTGGAGGAGATGGGAAGAGACGGCGTCAAGGAAGCATGTCAAGGAGAAGGGCCTCCTCATCGTGGGGGACGAGGGTGAGAGAGGAAGTGATGGGGGATGAGGAGAGAAGGAGCTCTTGGTGAGTGGTCTCCACTGGTTCAGTGAAATGTGAGGTGAGGAGATCAGGGGAGGGAGTGCCTGGGGAAAAAGGCAGGTCAGGCATGAGGAGGGTGGCAGTGAAGGGTGGGACCAGTGGGGGAGGGAAGGAGGGAAGGACTTGTAGGAGGTCCAGTGAGCAACACAGTTTGGGGAATTTTCTCCAGCTTCATTCGACAGTGCATGAACAGCGGCAGCAGAGGAGAGACCCAACTTGGGATCTGTCCATGTGCCATGGCTGGAGGGCAGGAGGACAAGGGTTTCCAGTGTAGACAGCTGTGTAGAGGGAGCTGATTCACCAAGTAGTTGTGCTAGGGCAGGGAGGAGGGGAGCGTCACCAGTGCAGGGGGACAGCCTTCAAGAAGACTGAGGGTGGTTGGAACAGAGGGGTCACCAGGCAGAGAGAAAGACAGAAAGAGGGAGGGAATTTCAGAGTTCATGAACGTGGAAGTGGAACATTCGTGGATGATGGCCAGACCAAGGGTGTGGCCATCTCTTTGTGTGGCTGAGATGATGTGGAGAGGAAGAGGTCATGGAGAATCAGTGGATTGAGGAAGTGGGAAGCGAGGGGAGGCTCGGAGCATCACTGTGGATACTGAAATCCCAAAGACTGTGAAGTAGATGCTGACCTCATCCAGGAAAGAAAGGGAATGGGGGAGGGGATGCATAAGGCCCACCAGGATCCACTCTGGGTGATAAGTTTAGACAGCATGGACCTCAGAGAAGAGGAGTTAGCTGAGCCACGGTGGTCAAGGGAGAGTTCGAAGGTGCCAGTGGGCACAAGAATTATTCCTGCTCCCTCCCCATGAACATCGGCTGTATCAGAGAAAAGGACAGTTGTCAGGGGTGTCAGGCTGTAGAGAGAGGGCCGGGAGGTAGGAGGAGGGAGAAGGGAGAAATGGAGAGGTTTCAGAGGAAAGTCAGTTAGTGAATCGAGCAGCGAGCATTCCAGAGAGCGCAGCAGGAGGGGGTGAGCAGGACGAGGCGGGACATTGGGGGAGGGGAGCACTGGGGGGACAGGAGTAAGGGACATGGCAGTGGGGCCTGGGGCAGGGTTTGTGCCTCAGCAGGAAGGGGCTCAGAATCGTTGAGAACCATTGGGGACCAGTGCAGGCAGAGCGTCAGTGGTCTACTGAGGGAGAGAGGTGATGAAATTGTTCAAGGCTCTCCCTCAAAGTTTGTGGCAGGTGTGAGGCCCTGGGGGGCCCTCCCTGCAGCAGGCAGTGGCCTAGGAGACCGGGGTGGGGAGAGCCTGCCAAAGTAGTGTTGGGGAGGGGGAGCAGTTAGTAGGACGGTAGCCTCCAGGACACTGCAGAAGGAAGGCCCTGGGACAAAGACTGCAGGAAGCTGGGAGGCAGGTGGACTAAATTGGGCCAACACGATGTCTAGAGAAGGCCCTTGGGCAAAGGGGTAAGTTGCGTGGTGCACATGTGTTCTGCCCCCCATATCTGGACACCAGGTTCCTGACATCTGCCTGATCACACATGTTGCTTGACCACATGTGACCTCTGGGGGGTGCCCTCTCTGTGGGTTTGGCATCCCCTAGGGGACAGTGTACCCCAGATCTTCAAAGAAGGAATTTTTTGCCTCTTCATTTGCTATGCTATCAATGAAACATCTTTTATTTGAACTAACATGTCCTCAGGCTGACTTGTAAAAGTAAATACATCAGTGGGGGCTCGTGAGGTTGGGTTTTATGTGGGTGCTGACCTGTGGAGAGCCTGAACTGAACTAGAGGTCACTTTTCTAAGGAGACTGCATGGGAAGGGAAAGACCAGACATACTTGGGGCAGGGCAGCACTGGCAGAGCTCCCTCCGGGCAGCCAGGAGCGGCTCAAGCAGTTGGTGGCTTCCAGCTCTGCCTTCCTGGATCTCTCAGGTCCCCGTCTGAGGGTGGGGAGAGCCCTAGGGAGGAAGAGCCGGTCCCCTGCATTCTCATCCGCTTAGCCAAGGACCATTTTGTCTGCGTCAGAGCCCCCGTAGTTTCTGAGTAATTATTGCATGCCGCAGGGATTAAGCTCAAGTCTGCTCTGAGACAGCCTGAGTCATTCTCTTAGGGGTGCCAATGAGATACCTGGCAGGTTCCTGGGACTTGTCAGGAACCAGGTTGAGCCGGAATCACTGGCTCAAAGCCGGAAGTGGGTGGCTGCGAGGAGGCCAGCATCCCCTACACTGGCCTTCCCATGGGTCAGAGAAAGGAATGGCTGGGAAGCTAAGGCCTCTGGGAGGAAGCTCTAAGGAGCTGCCACGCTCCTCCATAGGGCCCCCAGCCCAAGATCCAGACAGTTCCTCAGAACCATACCTGAGGGAGAGTCACTGTATGCCAGGACCAGAAAGAGGGGGCACTGCTGGGCCCAGCAGAGGGAAGCCCACCCCCCAAGCCCAGGCAGCCAGCCCCTTCCCCTCTGGATGGCTCCCATCCTGATGATGATGACAGTGAGGATGATAATGATGATGACGATGATATTTGAATGGTGTGGTAATGAGGGCAAAGCGTCTTATAAATATCATCTCATTGGAACCTCACGATGACCCTGAGAGGAGAGGGCTTTTTTCATCGCCGTTTTATAAATGAGGAAATGGAGGACAGAAGTGAAAGACTCACCCAGGGTCACACAGCCAGTAATAATAACAATAACAACAATAAATCGAAATAATGGCTAATATTTATTTAGTACCTGCTATGTGCCTGGCATGGTGCTAAGTGCTTTACAATTATTACCTCATTTGATCCAATTACCCTGGAATGTAAATGGAATATTTATCTCCATTTTACAGATGTGGAAACTGAGGCAAACAGCAGCAAAGTGACTTGCCAGGGTCGCACAGTTAGGAAGTGTGGGAGGCTAGATTTGAACTCAAGTCTTTCTGTCTCCAGGAGCAGGACCATGGCAGTATGTAGACATTTCAGCTAGCGCCCAGCTTCCATCTGTCTCTCTGTCTCTCCCCCCTCCACCCCTGCCACACATTACTTCTCATACTACCTCCTGGGGCCAAGCAGGACAAGGCCCAGTCCTCCTCCCTTGAAGATAGCTGCTAGAGCCCACACCATTCTGGCTGCCGCCCAGCCAGCCACGAGTGCACTCAGACGGTCCAGCAGAGCTGTGGTCTCACTGAGAGGGATGGCAGACCCTTCGCTGGGCAGATTGCACATCCATCTCTACCTGGTGCACCAGCCCCATATCATCTAAAGCAGTAACTTCAAGAGAGGGGCTTCCTCTTCAGTGCCCTCGGCGCTCATCTGCCACGACAGTGGTGAATGATTGGTGGGGCAAGTGTTGAGGCCCTGGGCTCACCTATGTTAACCCTGCCTGGACCCCTCTCAGCACTGGTGCTTCAAGAAATGGGCACGGTGCATGCCTCCGGGGCAGGGGGCGAGGGACATCAACAGATAGACTCTGGGGGACTCCAATGTCTTTCCCCTTGGGTGGGAGCCCACCTATTGTAAAAAGCCCAGAGGACAGCCCATGTCCCTTGCAAAGGCAGAAGCCCACCAAGGAGGAAGGGGATGCATCTTCACATGGCCCTCTGTCCCCAGACCCCCGTCCTTTCCTGTACTTTCTGTGTTAAGTCTGTGAGACCTGCTTTAGTTCTGATGAATACCTGGTAATTCTCAGGGTTTGCCCAAGGAGCTGGTAATGGGCTTTGGGGGAATGCCCGTGCTAACTGCCAGCTGCCAACGATGCAGCCGCCCATTGTGAGGTGAGGGAGCCAGGGACTCCCTTTGGAATGTTGCCAGGGGTCACCTAGGTGGGATCAGACAGACCTCAGCCCCTCCCACCCCTGCAAGGGCACCGGGGCCCTTCACGTCTGATCATCTCTGATGTAAGGACGTCCAATCACCTGTGGTCCTGGCTGCGTTTCCTAATCATCCTGGGGAAACGTTTGGCTCCCGGTGCATGGAGGTGGTCTCAGTTTTTACTTCCTCCTGAGGGGTGAGAAGAGGGGGATTGGGGGCTAGCCCAGGCTGCATAAACACAAGGATGGAGGGGCTGGATTTGGGGTCGGAGGGGCTGGTTCAGAATACAGGCTCCCCCAGTTACAGCCTCTGAGGTCTCCGGCCCCCTGCCTCTGGCTCTAAATCTGACCCCCTGTGGCCTCTGAGACCCCCTCCGGATGGTGGTAGCACCAACCCAGGCGTCTCAAAGACCAAATCAACCAAGGCAGATTTCTCTTTGTTCTGACTCTGTGTGTGTGTGCCACCCCACCCCCACTCTACACCCACCATTATGCCTGGCTCTGCCTCACAGCAACATGAAGTGGTCTTCCCTGATTGGCCACTGGACTGACCCAGGCAGGGAGAGTTGGTTCGGTTGGGAGCTGGGCACTGGGAATCCACGCTGGCCACGGAGCAGGTCTCTGGGAAATGGGGAGATGGTGTCAATCTTCAGTTCCACTCACTCTTGGGGGCCCTGCCCCCTCCTCTGGCAAACGACAGCTTTGTCAGAGGCAGGAGCTGAGTGCCAGGCCTGGGCTCTAAGGGCTCCTGGTCTGGCCCCCAGCCCCTCTGCTACCCCCATACCCATCAGCGCTCTCCTCCTGGGGCACCTCTAACCCAGCTCAGGGTGTAAGTGCCAGGGCTGGCCTGAGAGCAGCCTGCAGGTGCCTCGTCACCCCGTGGGCCCAAGTGAGACCAGCTCCCAGGCTGCTGCTGGGCATTGGGAGGACCAGGGAGGGGAGGAGCAAGGCTTAGAAGGCCCAGGGACTGGTCCTTCCGGCCAGGAGCGGGCCAAGAGGCCTGACCTCTGCTTCTGGGCAAGCCACTGGGTCTCTTAGCAACTCGGTTTCCTTAGATGTTAAAAGTGGGTAAGAATACCACCCCAAAGTTTTGTAAGGGTCAAGCATCTTAGAAAGACAATCAATCAGTCAACTAATAAACATTTACTAAGCACCTACTATGTGCCTGGCACTGTGCTAAGCACTTTACATTCTCACAACAAGAGCTATTGTCATCCCCATTTTATAGATAGGGAAACCGAGGCAGATAGGAGTGAAGCAATGCACACGGGGTCACACAGCTAGTGTCTGAAGCTACATTTGAACTCGGGTTTTTCTGCCTTCAGACACAGCGCCCCCTAGAGGCCAGAAGTGGAGGGAGCTCAAGCTGACCCCCTAAATGTGCTCCACTACCTATCCCCCAACATGAACCCAGGACCCTTCACTCCCCAGGCTGCCTGCCTCTGGAAACTCCCCAGGAGGCTGACGTCCTTTTTGTATCGTAGTGCTGCGCCTGAACCCAGGGCTCCAGCCGAGGCCTGGAGAGGGCGATGGGCCTCTCACCTCCATGTGCCTAGATACAGGCCCCTCGGGCAAAGCCCAATTAGCTTAGGCAGCCCCTTTCCTCTGATGACTCCAGCCAGGCCCCCACAGAGTGCCCCAAAGCCCCAGAGCTCTCAGAGAGTACCTGCTATGGCTCAGTGCCACTCCTGTCTTCTGCTGGTCAAACCGATTTCTTGAGACATCCCACTGATTCTTATTGGACTTTGCTTATTGATTACTTCTCGAGCTCTAGCAGACCCAAGTGACCAAGTGGGGCCTGAAGTCAGAAAGATCTGAGTTCAAATCCGATCTCAGTCAGTTCCTAGCTGTGTCCTAGCCACTTAACCTCTGTCTGCCTTAGTTTCCTTAACTGTAAAATAGGGGTAATAACAGCTCTACCTTCAAAAGGTTGCTGTAAGGATCCAATGAGATATTTATTTTTTTAAAATGTGTCCCAGTACCTGGCACATAGCAGGTACTATACTTACTCCCTTCCTCCTCGTCCAGCCCACCACAATCCTTTGGCATCCCAGTGGTGTCATCCAGAGTGCTGGCTATCTGTCCTGGTCTCCAGGTATCTGATAGCTGAAAAGCATACCAGCAGTGCTTTTTCTGAGTCACTGATAAAAAAGGCAAGGGGCAGGGGCCAAGTAGAGCAGATCCCTGGGACCTCCCCAAGACCTCCTGCCACATGAACGTTGAACCATCAGCAGCTACTCTTGGAGGCCCATCATTCAACCAGTTCAGAATCCACCTCGTTGTCTGAGCCCCAGCCCACGTCTCTCCAGCTTCTCGGCAAGAATGGCACCAGATACTTCACTAAAAGCTTTGATAACTTTGGGTAAATTTGATTTAAAAATCCACAGCTTTCCCCTCTCCTCCCCTTCATGCCGCTGTGGAAGGGTGGACGCCCTCTCAAGAGCTGGGTTCTTCCCCCACCACTGGCTGCCAGGGTCATATTCCTTGGGCTGTTCTCTGCCTCCTCTGACCCCAAGGCCGGCAAGCCATCTTTCTAATGACCACCGGGGATAGCTGATCTTTGGCCGCTCGGCTGCGTCTCCTCCAGTAGAAATCGAAGAGACTGAGCTCTCAGAGAGTTCGGCAGACCAACGCCTGGTTCTGTTTGCAGGTAGACCTGTGGGCGCTGGGAGAGACAGAGATCAAAAGCATCCAGGGCTGGTTCCTTTACTTCCTTCGGGACCCAGCTCAGGGACATTTCACCAAGTAGAGGAAGCTGTTCCTGCCCATCCCAGCTGTTAGCGCACTCTGCTTCTTGAGCGACATCTGTGCATGTGGAAGAGATCTTCCATAACTCTAAATCAGAGTTGGCTGACCATTCATGTGGGACAAGCTGAGGGGACGAAAACCCTGCTGGCAACCAGAGGCAGTGAAATCAACAACCTGCGGTCCTGGGAGGAAGGGGAAAGAGTGTGTGCACGTATGCACTTGTACCATATAGATGTATGTGCACGTGTGTTTGTGTGTGGATACGTACATGTATATGTATGTGTATGTTCTGTGTGTGCATGTGTGTACTAAATGCTGTGAATACACATGTGAAAAGACAGCTCCTGACCTCAAAGAGCTTACAATCTAACAACATAAAATGAAGCTGAAAAGGGAGTCAGGGAGGAGGCACATGATGGAGAAATCCAGAGAAACACTGCAGAGTGAGGAATGGAAGGTGGGCTGTGCTGCCTTCAGGAAATTGCAGATTCCTGGCCCAGAATTTCTCCCAGAAACAAGGGTCATCTTAATGATACCAATGCACTTCTACGGTCTCCAAAGAGGCCAAACTGAGCATCGCTCAGAGGACATCGGAGGGCGTAGGACAGAGAGCCAATGAGGAACGTGGAGGAAGAAAGAGTGTGGAACATCGGCATCAAAATGTGGGACTGAGAAGGAAGATGGGCCAGCTGTGTGGCAAGGCCAAGGGGCAGCAGGGGGATGGTCCCCCAGCCCCTCGGGGAGCAGGAGAAAGAGGGAGGTGCAGGAGCATGTAGGGAGGGGACCCAGAGAGGGGCCTTGGGGGGGCCAGAGATGAGAGGCCGCTAGAGCAGGCAGGTGGACAGGCATCATCAGAGGGAGTGCACAGGCCCCGAGACCTGCGTCTCTACATGTTGTTTGTCCTTGTATTTCTGGCTTCCGGAGCTTTCGATGATGGTGTTCAGTTGTATCGGTCAGGTCTGACTCTCCATGACCACATCGGGGGTTTTCTTGGCAGAGGTACCAGAGTGGTTGGGCATTTCCTTCTGCAGCTCACTTTACAGATGAAGAAACTGAGGCAGACAGGGTGATGTGACTTGCCCAGGGTCACACAGCTTGTCTGAGTTCGGATTTGAACTCAGGCCTTCCTGACTCCAGGCCCGGCGCTATCTACTGCACCACCTAGCTGCCTATCTGCAGCATAAAAGGTGTTTAATAAATGTTGCCTTTTATTTAATGTTAGGATTTTATTGGGGCAGTTACTCCATATCTGTTTTAATTACTTATTTATATTTGTTGGGGCAATACAAAGGTCATGATTTCAAATTAATGCATTACCTGATTTTAAAATCACAAGAGGGTTGAAAGAGATGCCTTCTCCTGACCCTTCTCACTTAAGCCAATGACCCTGTGATCCTCTACCTGCCACTGTCTCTGACACACACACACAACACACTCATACAGTTACACATACTCCCCCACACACACTCATACACAAGCACACACACACACTCACATACAGTTATACATACTTACACACACACTCATACACACTCACATATACTCATATGCTCAAACATACACAGCTACACACACTCATACACACTAAACACATGCACGTGCACACATCACGCACACATACACTCAAACATATACACACACTTAAACATACTCACACACACTAACACACGCATACACACTCCTACACACTCATACTCAAACATACACAGCCACACACTCTCGTGCACTCACACACACTCACACATACTCATACACACTCGTACACATACACCCTGATTTCCTCTCCTGGCCTGATGTAATGGCCACATGCAGACTGCCTTACATTGCCCATTCCCAGGCCCAATGGGCCTCTGGCCTGAGATCCACGAAGGCACTGGGCCAGGAGGCCCAGGGAGGCCCAGGGAGGCCCTGGGGAGGCCCTGGGAGGCCCCCAGCTCTCAGCTCTCTGCCTCTGGGCCCTTCAGGGACACATCCCACACCAGTGCCCCCACCCACTCCCACATCCACCCCCACCTGGTGAAAGCCCTGGGGCTGGGTCCACATTCCAATGAGGCTAGGCCCATGGTGGCCTGGCATCAACCCTCTCCTGTGGCACAGAGACAAGCGCTCTATTCATCCTGCCTGGTAGGCCTGGTGCCTGGGATAATTATGGGCATAACCAGGTGATTGTCTGCCTTCTTTGAACTTGCCTGGTGATTTCCTGGGTCCTGCCTTGGCCCCCAGCAGAGCCCCGAGGCCCTTCCCAGGCTTGAGGTGTGTCTGCCCAGCCTGGCTCCCTCAGTGCCCTCCCCCAGACAATGGGCCTCCATGGCTAAGTGATTGTCCAACCTCCTATGGGATTCCAGCCAACACAATGGGCCAAGCTAAGCTAGGAATACAGAGACCATCCAGCAGAAAGAGGGGGGCACATTTCCCCACAAGACACCCCATCTCCCGCCTCTGGGCCTTTGCCTTGCCTGTCCCCCTGGCCTGGAATGCTGTCCCTCCTCCCCCTTCCTCTCCTCTCCCTCTCCCCCCCTTCCTTTTCTCCCCCTCCCCTCTCCCTCTTTCCCCTCCACTTTTTTCCCTGTCCCCTCTGCCTCTTCCTCCTCCTCCCCCTGACCAGGCCCAGCACCCCCGCCTCGGGTCAGAGAAGTTAAGAGCTAAAGATAAGAAAGAGCCAGACACCAACAAAGGGGGAAGGTGCTTGACCAGGCCGCTCTAGGAGGCCTTGGTTTTTCAAGGTTTAACACAATATTTGCTCAGGGTGGGGCGGTGTTGGTGGGAGGGACGTTTGTTATTTGAACTAGAATTAAAGGCAGGCACGTCTCTGCCTTTCTTTGGCTCCTCAGCACCTGGCACAGTGCCCGGCACACCAGAGGTGCTTAATAAATGCTGGCTGCCCCCGAGGCAGGGAGGCGCGGGAGGGGAGCACAGCGCAGCTCAGCTCCCGGGCTCCCGGGCTCCCTGGCTCAGATGTCTGCCCAACCCTCCTCCTGGCCCTGTTTGTCTCACCTCGTTCTCCACCAGCCCTCCACCTGCACAGGTGAGCCCATCTTCTCCCGCAGATCGCCCCGCCCACCCCGAGCCCTCATTTCTCTCCGGGATGCTCCCCCTGTCTCTGCCTGGGCCCCTCCCTGGGCGCCTCCGTCCGCCAGCCGGCCCCTTCTCACTGCTGAGCTCTTCCCAGGGCCTTCTGGGGGAGGGTCCCAGGCCTGTCATTCTCCTCCTGCCTCAGTTCCCTTCCCGCATCTTTCCCCATTAGAATGTAAGCCCCTTGAGGTCAGGGCCTGGTTTTCCTATCCCCAGGGCTTAGCAGTAAACAATAAAGGCTGGTTGATGTCATCACTCGATGAAGTCATGCCTGCTAGCTGCCCTCCTTTTTACGGCTAACCTCCTTCAAAAAGCTGTCTAGCTCCCTGCCCCCTCCCCTCCTCTCTCCCCCTTCTAAGTCCGCACTCGGGCTTTCGACTCGTCACTCACCTGAAGCCCCTCTCCAAAGTTTCCCACGTTATTCACCCCATCCTTCCTGACCTCTCTGCAGCCTCCCCCACGGTCAGTCTCTAGGTTTGGGGGACACCATTCTCTCCTGCTTCTCCTCCTACGGTCCTAGAGGCCCACTCCTTCCCAGTGCCCTCAGGGAAATCTCAAGCCAGGTCATACCTTTCACTGTCAGCGAGCCCTTCTCTTCTACCTCCATATGACCTTTCTTGGGCATCTCATCAGCTCCCACCCGAGCTCTCTATCCAGCCCTGCCCTCTCTCTGAGCTCAGGGCCAGAATCGCCACCCGCCTTTGGCCATGTCCCTTGGGAGTCCCATAAAGTCTCCTGACCACAGGTCCCTCCCTCCCAGCACTCCTCTCTTTCCAATTTCCCGTCACTGCTCAGGGCACCACCATCCCCCAGGCTTGAAACCTTGGGGTCCTCCCTGACTCCCCTCGCGCACTCACTGCACAGAGCCCCATGCTGCCGAGGTTTATCATTTCTGCCTCCCAAACGTCTCCGGCATCATCCCTGGGACGCTCTCCACCTCTGCCTCCTTCGAAGCTACCTCTGGCTTCCTTCAAGCCCCAACTTCTGCAGAGCCCTTTCCCGGGGCCCGCCCTGCTGCAGAGCCCTGTAGAATTGCCTCCATTTACCCAGTCTACACCCATTTGCACACAGTGCTTTGCGCGTTGCCTCCCCGTTAGACTTGGGCTTCCTCAGAGGCAGGGCCTGTTTGTTTGCCTTTCTGTGTCTTCCTGGCAGTTAGCTCAGTCCCTACCCCGAGCTGGGGGGCTTAATAAGTGCTCATTGACTGATGGATGAAGAATCCTCCCCCCACCCCCACCCCAGCCAGAGCTGTCAAAGCTACCTGGTCCTGCTGTCTTCATATTTTTACGGTTTGACTGTTAGTATTCAGATTATATTGCATGTGGAATGTATTGTGAGTAGTACAGAGCATTGAAGGAATTTATTTAGCATATAGAAGCAGACAAGACAAAGACAGAATCCAATCAACTGATGAAACCTCCCCATCTTGCTATTGATCTGAAGATATCTCCCTCGACTTTCCTGTCCCCATGGGGGGGGGGAGGAGAAGCCTGAATTTTATTGAGCAGACAGAAGCAGACCCAAGCATGAAGATGCAAGGGCTAATTAATTAGATCCAACTAGCTAATTCTGTGTACTCTTCTGGTTTGACCTTGACCTCTCAATTTCTCCTTCTCCTCTGCCTGGCCGCTAGGCTGTCCTTTCGTTGATCCCCAAGTATTTCTATCAGTAAGTGGGGAGGCACTGCATGTCAATAGGACACCCTGGCTCAGGACTTCCAGCGTCTGTAGAGGGCATTCCAAGAGGCACTTGGAGACATGGGCCTGGAGCTGGGAGATCAGGTGGCCACCATAATAAGGCATCACTAGGAAGAGCCCCTCGAGGTTAAAGAATGAGACCTTTGTGCTAGCTTTGAAACTATCCCCTTACACAAGGGGATTGACCCGCACCTGAAACTCTGGGCTAGATTCAGGAGATCTCCTCGCCTCGGGTCATCTATCCCTAGTCCATGACATCTCCCTGAGCAGGAGGGGTGAAGGAGTGGGCCAAGCTGCTGTGCACCTGCCCACGCCTTTGTTCCTGAGAGGCTTTTTAAAGGGAAAGCAGACAAAACCACTGATAGAAGATCTCTGAGGTCGTACCTCATGGCCAGCTAACTGGCAAGGACGGCCATGCTGGCACATGGCTGGTGAAGCTGTGGGTGGGCTCAAACATCCTGGAAATAATTTGGGATTATGTAAGGAAAAAGGGACTCTAATGTCCCTACCCTACAGGAACACCAAAACCCCTATAGCTGCTGTGGTGCCTGCCCTCAGGCCGCTTCCCTCTGTATGGAGCCTGGTCCTCTCTGCAGCTCAGCTCCCACTGTCAGGGCTGTTTTTCCACTCAGCAGCATGGGCTCATGGGCCTGCCTCTGTTAG